TTTTATTAAAAATTTAAAATAATAAAAAAAAAAAAAAAAAAAAAATAAGGCAAATGATATTTAACTTTTATTTTGAAGATAAAATAAATATTATAATAATTTATTTTAGCAAATATATGAGATTACACATAAAAAAAAAAAAAATTTTATAAATATTTTAAAAATTAATAAAATAATCAACAAGATATATAAATAATTATAAACATAAAAATTTATTTATTAAAATTCTTTTTCAATTATATTTTTTCATTTTATTTTAAAAAAAATGAATATAAAAAATTATTATTTTAATATAATGAAAAGAAAAAAATATTTATTAAAATGAAATAAAATTTACCATAATCAATCATGACTCAAAAAGATGAATAAATGTTTTGTTTCTATTTATAAATTCAGATATCATCATTATGTTAAAAGGTTTAAATGTTCAATTAATAATGCAATTAATGATAAAAAATTAAAATGGAGAACTACTGAAGAATCTTATTGTGAATATTTATTAAGTCCCGAAGAAGAAAAAGAATTAAGGAAAAATCACTTAAATATTATATCAAATAATAATATAAATATAGATGATAATATAATATATGAAAGTATAAAAGATTGTGAGAAAGATAATATTTCTGCTTATTACTTCAATTTAAATTCTAATTTAAATAATCTAAAAAATAGTAGCAGTATTATATCATATTACTTTAAACCTTTGAGTAATATCATAAAAAAATTTAAGGAAATACCAGTAATAAATTACCTTTATAAAAATATATTTTTTAAATATAGGGTAAATATTCATATATTTATTTCACCAATATATGAAAGAATAAATAACGAAAAATTATTTTTAAAATTTAATTTAAATAAAAATGATGTTCGTGAAATTATGTATTTTTTATGTATACATGTATGGATCTATTGTGTTAAATTAAATATGATAAATGATAATCATTTAAAAGTTTTGTTATTCGAAAAAGTATGGGATTATTACAGAGCATTAATTATGAAATATAAAATTTCAGAATTTTCTTTTAATACTTATTTAATTAATATGCAAGAATATTCGTTAGGCTTTTGTGTTGGATTAGATGAATGTATAAGTAAAAAATTATATGCAGGACAAATTTATCACCTTCTTTTTAATCACATTTATAGGGAAAATAAAAATTTTAAAAATTCAAAAGAATTAACAAATTTAACTATTTATTGTATAAGAATGTATCGTTTTATTTGTCTTCTTCCTAAAGAGAATTTTTTACAAGCTAAATTTACGTGGCCAGATGTTGAATAAAATTTCTTTTTTTTTTGGCATAAAAGTTTATTTATGAGTTTCAAATTTCAATTTTAATAAATAATGTTTAATAAATAATGTTTAATAAAACATTTTTAATTAAAACAATAATAGTGTACTTTTAAAAAATTTTTATACATATTTATAAAAACAAAAAAAAAAAAAATAAAAAATAAAAAATAAATAAAATAAAATAAAATAATAAATTATCATATAATTATATTTATGTTTAAAATGTGTTATTTTAATTTTGTTTAAAATAAGTAATAAAAAAAAATATATATATATATATGGGTTATAAATTTTTTTTTAAACATTAACAGATTTTACATGAATATGTACATAAACATTTTTTCCCCACAATTTAGTTAATTTGTAAGATACATTTTTTCTCATATTAATTATTAGTTTATTATGAACACCACAAATCATTTTAGCTACTTTTTCACTTTTTACAATAATTTGATATTCTATTATTAAACAATTATTTAAATTTACACACCACGATAACATATGATGTTTAATTTTATATGGAACATCCTTATTAAACCAACAATATAAATAAGTATTAATCAATTGTTCAACAATTTGCACTTTTGTTAAAGTTGTACTAGTATCTTTTGGATATATCCAAAGATGATTTTTTGCCTTATATTTTATAATATAATCTAATAATTCTTCAACTCCTTTGTTATATTTTGCAGATATAAAAAAGATGTTATCAAAATCTCCATTATTCATAAATTCTTTTGCTCTAGCATTAGCCCATTTATTGTGTGTGCATAAATCTACTTTATTTAGAACTAAAATTACTGGAGGAATAACTTTTTTTTCATTTTTATTTATATTTTGTGTGTCATAATAAGATTCTATTATTTTTTTTCTGTTATCAAATATATTTTCTTTAATGCTTTTATCACTGTAATTTAAATCATTTTGCATTTTTCCTGAAAAATATTTTATAAATTTTTCTTCTAGTTTTTTATTTTCATCTTTTTCTTTTAAAAAAATATCCTCATGATTTTGATTATTTGAAATAGCATTATTATTTTGTTTTTTTTCATTTCCTTCTATATTTTCTTCATTATAATTATTTATATTATTTTCGTTCAAATTTTCTCTATAATTGTTACATTCACTATCATACTCATTATTTTCTTCTTCACTTTCACTACTATCTGTGTCCACTCGTTTGGGTGCTAACATTCTAACAATACTAATAATATCATTTGTTGGTCTTTTCACAGTATCAACAATAAATAAAACTAAGTCTGCCTCTTCATATCCTTTCCAGGCATAACTAACTAATTCTTTACAAAACTTTTTTTTTTTGTGAGAAGGAATAACACCAGGAGCATCAATAAAAATTAATTGTACATTATCTTTTGTGTATATTCCTTTTATATCTTGTCTTGTTGTATTAATTTTTGGAGAAACTGCTGAAATTGTTTTATTCAAAATAGAATTTAAGAGAGAACTTTTTCCTGCATTAGGGGGACCAATTAAGGCAATTTTTAAGAATTTAGGATTTTCAGGTTGTTCTGGTATTTTCCATATATTCATATATGCACTTTTTGGTATTACTCCTCTTGTTATATTTGGTGGATAATATTTACTGTCTTTTTTTTTATTTTCATCTTTTATTTCTTCATTTACACTTTCTTCATTTATTTTTAATTCATTGGAATATGGTCTTGCTCTTATATACCTTTCTAATATAGAAAAATGACGAACATACAAACCTTTATTAAATTTTGTATTTATTTTATTAAGTAATATATTTTTTAACATTTTAATTTAAATATGAATAAATATTTCTTTTTTTCTTTTTATGCATTATAAATAAAATTAGCATAAATCATTATTAAACAGGTGTTAAAATAAAAAAAAAAAAAATAATAAATATATATCATTTTTTATATTTTCGCATTGTATCTATAAAATTTCAATATTTCCTTATTATTTATCATTATAAAGAATTAAAAAAGTTTTCTGTTTACATCATCCACATTTTTTAAAAAGTTTTTTATTTGTAATAGTTAAATAATCATAAAAAAATCGTTATAACAAAGAAAAAAATGTTTTAATTTTTTTAATCTTTGTTTTTATAGTTTATTTTTTTAAAGCAATATGTTGTTTTTTTAGTAGTATATTATGAATTAATGAAATTATTCTTCTAATAAATTACAAAAAACAAAAATCAACATTTCAAAATATATATATTTTCAAAAAAAAAGTGTTAAGAAATTTCATTTAAAAAACATTATAAAAAATATATTTAAAGAAAAATATTATGAATTACAAACATTTTAAGTAATTTTATTAAAAAAATATGAATCAAATTTAAATATATTATATGATATTCCTTATTAAAAAAATTCCCTTAAAAAATCTCCATTGAATAAATATTTTATCAAAGCTCTTAAATTGTTATAATAAATAAAGCTATTTTATATTACATCATATATAACGATATATTTTTTAATATTTAATTCTTATTTTTTTAAAGAAATATTATTTCTAAAAAATGTTTTTATTTTAGTTCCACACATATTTCCTTTTTAAAGAGTAAAAAAATATTTTTTAGAACTGCAAATTTTATTTTCTACATAAAAAAAATAATACAATGTCATAATTTAAAATATGATATTTAATATAAATAATATCAAAGTTTGTTTATATTTTACATAATTTTTTAAATGTATGTATGAATATCCCATTAAAAAAAATAAACGTGTTGAATCTAAAAGAGAAAAAGGTGAAAAAAAAAAAGGAAATATAAAAAAGAAATAAATGGAAATGGAAAAGGAAAAGTAAAAAAAAGATAAAATATTCTATAAAAGTGTAAAATCTAAAAAGAAATTACTCTTCTCTTTTTTTTAGATATAAAAAATGATACAAAAGAAAAAATAATATATAGGATTATTTTTAACATTATATTTTTATGAATTTACTAAAAAAAAATTGCTTTAGGAATACAGAAAAAAAAAAAAAAAAAAGTGAAATTATCTAAATGAAATACTTGAATTTCATATATATTTTTAAATTATATATGTATGTTTTTTTTTTAATTTTAAATCAACGTAAATATTATTTTTCCTTATATTTATCTACTCTTTTATTTTGTTACGTTTTATTTAATTTTAACCTTTTTTTTTTTTATTTTTAAAGAAATTATTTTATGTTTTTTAATTTATTCTAATATATACTTGTGACTATTTTATCATAATTTAACGATTATTATAATATTTATTTTTTATATTTTTGTTTGAAGTTTATTTCATATTTTAATATATAAATTTTATTTAAATTCCTTATTTGAAAGTGTAATAAAAAGAAAATAAGAATTTCAAAAAATACTAATTTTTTTTTGGTAAAAAAATAAAAATCATATTTTTTATTATAAATTAATTTATATAGAATGTACTTCTTCATTTTTCTTTTTTTATTATATAAACAAATTTACTTAAATGCATTTTATAATATCTGTATTAATGTAGTAAAATAGAAAAAAATTATTATCTTGCACAATTTTATATTTTTTTAATATCAACATAAAAGAAAAAATATATAAGTTCTTGTTGACCTTTAATTTTTTTATGATCAAAAAAAAAAAAAAAAAAAAAAAAAAAAAAAAAAAAAT